TATTCTAATTTTGCCTCTGAAGCTGTTGGGCTTTATTTCTTATAAAGGGTGTTGTCTTAAGTGAGCTTGGGCAAGGCTAAGGGGAACACTATTGAAGCCATTTCAACTATCTAAGATGCATTATGTCCACTACTGCTTTTACATTGAAGGGCTGATGCCTTTATCAAGCTCAGTGAACTCAAGACACTGATAATGCTGATAGCAACCCTGAAGGACTCCCTGTGATAACCACAAAATATGCCCTATCTTGATATGCAGTAAAACATAGATTTGTGGTCAAAATTGTGAATACGCCTATTATAACTGTAGGACTAGTTCACACAAGTACAATTTAAGGCTTGGCTCTCAAGTGAGCTGATAAGAAAAGGTCATTTGCTGAGCAAAGTATTAACGGTCAGGGTCATCGGAATGAGGTGTTGTATGCAGCGGATGTTGTGTGGATGAACCTAATCAAATGGTTGTACCTGACTTTATGTATTCTAGGTGTTCAGTGGCTGGGAAATAGTCTTTTTTTTTTAACTGTCTTTACTGGTCATGCTTTTAAAGGTGAGCAGCTGAGGAATGTCTGCAGAGGCCAGCAGGAATTTTCCCTGAGAAGTATTTTAACATTCTTTTTCCAGAATTTAGTCCAGGTTGACTTTTTTACAATGTGAATGAAGGCCGGCAACATAGAATGGACCCTCAAAAGATACCTGAATGGATTCGCCTTTAAAACATCAAGTGTTTTCCATTTTAATTGCAACTCCATTTTTGTGTGAGTGATTTCCCCAAAAACTCAAGGTAATTGAGGAAGAATGTCAGTGTGAGAACTAAGAATGTGCAACATTCGCCAGCCATAAACAACTTAACATGTAGATCTGAAAACTGAAGCTCCGTGGAACAGAGTTTATAACAAAATTCAACATTGTTTACAATAGTCACGACAGACATTTCTTCCATTAGATTTGTATCAAATCATCCGCTTGACAAAGAACTGTCTAAGTTCAAACAGTATAGTGTAATCCATTCTGTTTGGGACAGCGGCTACTCTGAGAGACATAAATCTCTGGTTGGGTACAAAAACAGGATGGCGAGGTTAGAGTTCATGAAGAAGTACTTAAAGAAGCATACATTATTGTCGAAAAGTTTCTCAGAGCCTGTGTACATTAACATGTGTGCTTTTTCTGTCCTTTCATGACTTTTTTTTTGTTAAACTACTTTTCTATTAAGCAAATTACAACCTTTTGCAAACATTTATGAAATGTTTTTCTTTTGAAGGCAGTCTCATTCAGTGGGTAAATGACCTGTCTCCACTGTGTGTGATAACAGTGTTTACAGAGACTGTTAAAGGTTACTGTTGGACAACAGAAGAAATGCAAACAACTTTTAACAGAACTTCAGTCCTGCACAAAACATACAATTTATGATCGTATTGGAATTCATCTCATAATACAGCCCTGACTTAAAAGTCCCACGATGAAATGCATCTTGTGAGTTTTTTTAACGCTTTATACAGAAACACACATGCTTTTCCCCCTCCCTCTTTAGCTTGTATCAGCATCCATATGCAACTGAACAGAAATGTTCAATTCAAGTCCCATTCTCAAATTGATTATTAAAGCACAACACAATTTTCAGTTCAGCATAGGAAAATTGAACAACAAAAGGCTGCACCTACCTGTCCATGTGGGTAAACCAGGCAACTTTCTCTATGCTTTACGGCAGAGTATCCCAGGCAGACATCCAGAGGCATTGTTTCACTGCTCTAGCTCAGTTGCAGGATTACAGAAACAATGGATTGTTTTTCCTCCAAACTCCTCACCACCAAGTACAGGCAGCACACTCAGGAGACCACCATCCTGCCAAAGGCCCCATTGTTCGCATCTTGTCCAGCCATGATTAGTTGTTGTTTATTTTTGTCACACAGGATGACTCCCTGTACATGTAAGAAGCATGGATGCATGGAGCTTGATTACTACAACAGCAGTACGCAGCCATCAAACTATTCTTCACTTTCATGTCACTTTAAGTCCATCACTTTTTTTCTGCTGACCAAAAGTCTCTGTTTTGTTGTCCTCCATAACACCAATTTCAACTATATATGCTACAAACCGAAATCACCTTGGATTATTTCCATTGTAAAATGCAAGTAAAATGCATTTTTTGCCAAGGGGTGTTTCTTTTCAGTATCACTAATAACAGTCAACACCATTTCTAGTATATATTTACGTATTAACTTAAGTGTTATGGGTTGTTGAAATAAGAAAAAAAAATCCATACTTAAGTTTATTTTACTTTTTATAAATTTGCATTATAATTGTTGTTAATCTTCACAATTTCCATGAAGTTTGACCTGCATGTGTTAAGAGCACATAACTCTGTCCTTAATCAGGAAAAAGTCTATTGACGGGGTTAATTTAAAATAACAATGATGTTACACGAATGCTCATTTTATTCCAAAGTACTAACCTATTAAATGATTGAATTACTGGCATGGTAAGACAAAGCAAGTTCAATTGTATAGCACATTTTGTGTACAACACAACTCAAAGTGCTTTACAAAGAGTTTAAAAGCAGAAAAAAGGATAAAGTAAATAGATAAAGATAAATTAACATCGTTTGTCACCTTGATCGGAGATGTCTCAGTGCTGTATTGGGGACTAAAGCCTGACTTCAAACACATTATACGCAGGAGAAAGTCAGTCAGCTGTTTATATACAACTTTTTCTAGGACTTTTCCTAACAATGGCAGGTTTGATATGGACTGGTAATTGTTCAGTACTGTGGCATCCAGATTCCTCTTCTTTAGAACAGGCTCAACGACAGCCGTTTTTAAGGCCTTTGGAAATGTTCCAGTCTTAAGTGAGATGTTGACAAGATGAGTGAGTTGTGTTTTAGTATTGTGGACTGGTTGTGACTAACGTGAAGTTAACACGATGTTTGATACGTGTACAGAATGTTTGGTCTCTGAAGGCTGACTAATCTTTTATCTGTTACATATTGAAACAGGGATGAAAGAAGCTACTTCCATCTCGGGCCCTGCTTAAAAAGCTACTGGCACATGTAGTACTACTGCCTAGAACTTGGAGTTCAATGAAGCATGTCAGGTTTGAGATGGTGTACAAAATGACTCATTCCACAAACATTTTGAACAAAACAGAACATACAGTGCTCTCAGACCACTGTCTGAGCCCCACACTCTCACCCAGTTAGTGGTGTATTACACCAGTACAGTGGCATGCTGAGGGCTGGAACTCAGAGGAAGTGACCAAAGGTGGGTTTGAAATTGATAAAACAGCTTGGCTAGGTGGCTTTGCTGATATGCTTAAGCCAAATCAAACAGGCATCCTCAGAGACAAACTGCTGAGAAGGCCGTTTAGAAAAGGGCATAAACGTTTTGTAAATTGTCATAGGCCTTATCAAATGAGTAGCTGATAATTTCTTCTTTTGGATCGTGGCGCAGAGGGAGAATCATGTGGATTGGAGAGAAAGCACTCTCGTTTTTACTGAGTGGATTGAAAGTAAGAGAGCATGCCTTATTCAGCACACTGGCTGTTCAGGAAATACTCTAAAAGGAGTGCAAAGTCGGTAGAAAGCCAAGAGCCACTCATGAGTAGTGTTGACCTGTCAGACCCTCCGATTGTCTCACATTACTCAGAAAAAAGAGAAAAATATGGTTTGTTACAGTGCCGTATTAGTATTTCTATTAGTATTATTACTGTAACAAACAACTAATCGCTCCACAAGAAGCTGTGTCGCAGTCTTTTCGCACCAGCTAAAGACACACTGGCTTTACAAGAGCAGATAAAAGCTGAGATCTGTGAGTGCCCGCACAACCAGTCCAAGAAAGATATCAGTGCATCCCTGTTATCATCAGTGAGAAAGCATCAGGCTGAAAAAGAACAAAAAGCTACACATTGCACAGGAAGTGCAGGCTGAATGGGTTGTGCGCTTCCTTTATGTGCGATATGTTCAAAGTACCTCTTTGTGTTATCTGAATCAGGAACTTTCACACGTCCTATCACAGCTCCACACATGCTATTGAACAATAGGAGTGAGTTTGAGGCCTATCTATGTTTAACTTTATTTACACTATGGCCATTAGTTTACTTTGATACACATGTTATCATGCTGGATTTTTTTTTCTGTTTATCAAATCCAATTCTGTTTGATCTGTAGTAAGTAATAAAAGATTTAAAAGACCTGGATGAGTAAAATCTGACCTTGAGCTCCCAGCTAACTTAATCTGTTGATTATGTCTATACGTATGTCTCGTAATTGTTAGATTTAGTGCAAATGACAGCAGGAATAAAAAAGTAAGATACAGATTTGTGATGTAATGGCACTTTACTGTGATAACATTTCAAACTGACAAATCAATGCATAAGACAGGTATTTCTCATCTGAGTTCACATTAAAATGTGCTTTTACAATAGTTTCTGAAGAAGACTGATTTTTTATGAATATTTGAGTGGTCGTATGAGTTGACAATCAAAACATAAGGAAAAAAACAGCTGTTGGGAATAAATTGACCAAAAAATCCAACTAAAAAGCTCTACATATATTACGTAGAGTGAAGAGTGGAGAACGTGAACTGAAGGGCTGTGTTAATAAGTCTAATAAGCATTGTGCATTTATTACCAATTTTAAAAAGTTTTAAAAAATTGTACCATAGTAAAGAATTACAAAATTTTATGGAATAACAAATTCTGTCCAACTGCACTCCATTTATAAAAAAATTCAAATTGCTCCAAAAGAAAGACTGAAAATACTTTTTTCCCACCAACAACTGTGCAAATATTCATCACATAACATTTCTAAACTTGCTGACACATTTTATCTGTGTCCTATGACAAATGAAAGTGAACAACTGCATGTTGGAACAAATTGTAAGACAAAAAAGAGAACTTAAACTTAAAAATGTTGTCACTGTGATTGTTTTCAAACATATTAAATCTCAAAATTGTCATCACACAATCTTATCGTCAAAATAAAAGATTCATGGAGATGATATGAGTGGTTTAATATCTGAGTCTGTATCTAAACTGAACATCTCTTATTGGCTGCATTGATCCAAAACCCCATCGCTTGAAATCAATTTCAGGTATCTTCTCATCAGGATTCTTTAGCTCAAACTCAAAGTAGACCAACATGAGGAAAACAAACTGTTTCAGCTCATTAGTAGCAAAGAATCTTCCAGGGCACATGGAGACTCCTGCACCCCAGGGCATGTTGTAGTACTTCACCTTCTTCCCTCCTTTGTAAAAGTCTGTTTTTTTGCTGCCGTCAGGGTTCAGAAAGCGGTCATATTTAAATGAATGAGGATCAGGGTGGACTTCTGGGTCAAGATGCACGGCATTGTAAGGGAAGATCGCCATTCTGTCCCCTTTGCGAATGAAGTATTCGCGACCATCAGCTAACTTAAGGTTCATGTCCTGGAGCACTGCCCTGGTGAGGAGGGGTGCAGCGGTCAGTCGGAGGGTCTCTTCTACCGCACTGTCCAGCACCGGAGTTTTCATCAACATTTCACGGGTCAAATTGATTAAGGAGCCCCCACGTTGGACCTCTTGCCCCGACTCCTTTAGAACTTTATCTACCTCTTCCCTCACAGCTGTCATGGCCTCTGGATGTTTCAAGAGGAAGAGGAGCAGCCAAAATGAAGAAGGGCCTGTGTTGCCCTGAGAGGCCCAAAGAAGCACAAACATGTACTTGTTGATCATTGCATCATCCATGCCCATCTCCTCTTTGGCCTGCTGCATGTCCCACACCCAGCGACTGATGTTGTCCTTCATCTTCATTTTCTGCACTGACAGAGCATTCCAAAAATATTCCTGCAGCCTGTTGGCTTCTCTCTTTTCCTTTGGGGGGAGAACCCCATATGCCAGGTTTGGAAAGAGTTGGTCATATTTCCGAAACTCAGAAAACAAAGCATCAGATTCAAATCGGTCTGTCTCTTTAGCTTTTTCTTCACTTCTCTCTGACTTGTGTGGCACATTACCAAATAAGGCTAAGTAGCCGGCTCTGAAAACGATGTTATAGCTGTACTTGAACAGACCGTCTTCATTCCAAGTCTTTTGATTGCTCCCAATGTTGTGCAACATTAAGTTCTGCAGATTACTCGTCATAGCTTGGGTCATTACTTCAAGGCCTTCACCCTTCAAGTGTTTGTTGCTAGAGAGGTGGAGGATTTGATGATCATTCTCAACTGATACGTAACCAAACACTCTCTGGACCAGCTGAGCAGCAAAGTTGTTGAAGTCCAGCTTTTCTCGACTCTCCTTAACAAATGCCCCAAAAGACAGAGGATCTTGAAGAAACGTAATATAAAATCCTGCTATTTGTATGGTGAAAATGTCACCGTGTTTCTGCTTCATCCTCTCTAAAAACTTTAATGTATTCCGTCGAAATTCTAGGACATGACCAAGCCATGGAATGAGACCTTTATCCAGCGGGGGTTCTCCTGGTTGCCACTGTCGAAAAACCCCAAGAATATACAATCCTCCAAGCAAAGCAATGAAAAAGGCAAGAAGGATCAGCAGCAGCCCCATGACTTTCCTCTTGGGAAGCTACAGAGATTTGGAGTTAAAGCCTGCTCTCTGCAGGACTAACAGACCTTTGCTCCTCCCTCCATGGAGTAAATCTCTGGTTTCCAGGAACTGCATGAGCAATAGTCACACCCAGCACATCTGCTTGAGGAAAAAATGTAATCTTTGTTCATGTGCTTTTACTTGACAATTGAAATTATATTGGTAATTACTACAGGCGCCCTTTATCCTTTTTATCTCTGAAAAGTTGGCACTCACAGAGAAAAAATTCAAACGTGCATCTTATTGTGTTTAAAGTTTGTACCTGGTTTGTGAAAGCTCTTAAGTCATCATGGAAATAGGTTTACAGTGATTCCGTCAATTGAAAAAGATAATCTACTTCATATAGATAGATATATGAATAGATTGATGGAGCTTGATAGCAAAATGGATCTAAGAATGGATAAGAGCTGCAACTGCATACAAAACTGGGGTATTAGTTCAGTGTAATCACAGTCAGAGAAAATTGTCTGACCATTACAATGATGAATGGTGTTTTGCTTTGTAACACTTTTTGTCAGATTATCTGTATTTATGAAGGTTTAACACTCTGTAAACTACTAGTTTGTGTAACAGCCTGGCCTTCGTAAAATGTCATTTTTATCTACAAAATGGATTACAATGTCGTCATTTTCAACAAACACGTGCTATGGAAACTAAAAAACATTGAAAGGAAAAAACAGGTTTCTTGGAAAAGCTTGAGAAACTGCCATCTAAACTTTAAAAAACAGCCACTGCAGTTCCCTTTGAAATATCAAATATTTATATAGTTACGAAACTGAGCTTGCTAAGACTGTTAATTACTGATAGAGAGCAGCATTTGATGTTATCATGATGACCATGAACTTACAACCACTGGCATAGTTTCTTTTTACTGCGTTTCTCCACATTGTTACAATTTTCAAGGATGGATTATTTGATTGGCTTCAACTTTTTTTTTATCAAATGAAAGAACACATTAGGGTTAGATTATTAAATACAAGTTAATATGTATTTCTGGGCCACTTTTAAAAGGACTGTCTCTTGTACCTGTTGTGTCAAGGGGCAAATTGTATCAAGCCTGGAGAAGAATTTGGATGTGTGCAGACAAAGATTATTCCTCATATGATGTTTGGAAGCAAAAACAAACCCATTTCTTGAGCTGTATTTTTTTTCAGTCAGCATGACATAAATTTAAGATCCAAGAGTAGACACGTAGTGCCACCTACTGGATATGGGGATAAAGTCTGTAAATGCAAATAACACAAGTGAGCCAAAAAAAACTGATTTATAGTACCATAGAAATGACTCACCTATACACCAAATCAATTGATGAATTTGTTAATATACATGTTAATACAAGTGTAACTTTTGGTGCCGTCACATGTAACCTATCTTTTTCTTTAAAAAACCTAAAATCAAATTAACTAGAATCAGTTGGCTAAGTATTATAGGAGCTCTTTTAAATAGCCGAATGTGTGATCTTAACCCATGGTGTCTTCACTGACTTTATCAATTCTCCACATTAAGACAGCAAGATGTTTATTCATTATCGCATATTTCTATCATGTTATCACACTATCACATGTGAGGATGAAATATTTTATCATCCTCTTATCTATGACAAGTAATTCACATAAATGTCAAGAAATTTCACAGTTTTTGTCTAGAGAAGAAATCCATGTTTCCTCATTGTAACATAATGAAAGAGAAAGAAGACAAAGTTCCATCCATCAGATACGCAAACTCCAGAGCACTTAGTAAAGCAGTTTCGTTTGCAGTGAAGTTGTGCCTCTTTTTGTGAAATCCAACAGGACTTGGACTCTGCAACAGCTTTGTTTTAAAATGTTTTGCAAATGACAATGTAAACATTACTTCTTAAAAGTTGACAAATGAATAGGTATAAACTACAATATTCAAGTTTCCTAACAAGACAACTGAAATTCAGTTGAAAAAAAAAGACATTCATTTTTTAAAGAAGTAAACAGCGCTTCCAGCTCCTGCGCCTTCTTCTTTTAAGATCTCTGCTCTAATCTACAGAGTAAATCTGGGTGTCGTGCATGATCAGTAGAAACTCAGCCCATAATTACATAAAGGAAATGCCACAGGCTCATTAAGGCTTCAAAGCTCTTTCTGGTGTCTGTTTTCAATAAGAAGAATGGATACACTGCAGATGCTGTCAGAGAAATACATGACGAGTTGCACTGGAAAAGAAGAACTAAAGGATTATTTTGCTGCTTATAAAAAGCCCAATTCAATAAACATAAATTAAGGTGCAAAATCAACTAAACATTTTTAGGGAGATTTATGATGGATATGGTGTTTTGTTTTGGTCACGATGTGCAACAGTTGAAACAATGAGCTGGAATCACTTTGAGCAAAAGCATGTTCTGGTAACACACTATTGTTATTATTAATCATAAGTAATCCAAGAATTTCTAGAAAGGCAACTCGAATTGGATTTGAATTGAATTTGAAGGTGTTAACATAGTCGGTAATATAATATTCAAATATAATAAAATGCTTGTTGTTTATTATAATTCATGTTTATTGAATATAACGACTTCTCACGTAATAATATTATTAATAATTACCACTTATTATTGAACGTTGTGCAGCAGGACCATGTGCGACCATGTGCTGTTTGTCCACAGTTACATCAGTCCCAAGATTAACGAGTGAATGAGAGTGTTTATTCCACTTCATCACAACTTCGTTTTCAGATTAAATATAGGCCGAGCATTTATTAGTTTATTAGTCATGGAATACACAAAAGAGCACGAAGATAAAGCTAGACCGAGTGCTCCCGCAGTCTGAGTAGGGTAAGCCACATAAAGAGCTTGATATTTGTTTACCTAAAAAAAAAGCTAAACATGTATTGTCCAATACGTTTTGCGTCAGAGGTGAACTACGCATGTATGCAGTGCTGCGTTCAAAAGTCTCGGAATTAATATAACCATGATGCATTTACTTTTTTTTTTAAAAATGTCACAAATATGCACACCGAAGCTTATGCTAGTTCATGTAGTACTTGATAAACACAAACATGGGTATGCCCTCCTTATTTTAACTCTTAGTTTACTCTTTGCCAC